ACCATGAAATAGGAGCTCCTAGATATATGAACATATACTTTTTAGTAATCCTTTTATCCACTCTGTTACCACACCAGTTTGAGTATCAATAACATATCAGCTCATCATCATTTGACACTCCAGATGGGAATTGATATTCACGCCTCAGAATTCCATTTACATACTTAAGTATTCTGACTGTAGCTTGGTAAAGTGACCACATTGGCTTACTCATAAACCTATTTATCATTATAATTGAATAATATATGACAATATTGGTGTTTCACAAATATCTCATAGATTCACCCAACTGTTTGAAATTTATAGACTCTACTTCCTCACCATCAATATCAGAATCTAGTTTATGGTTTGTGTCCGCATGTGTGACTGTATACTTATAATTCATTAGCTCAAATCTCTTCAGCAACTCGAGCTCATACTTTAGTTAGTGCACAATGATTCCCTTATTAGTGTGTAAAATCTCCATCTCTAGAAAATATACCATGTTTCCTAAGTCATTCATATCAAATGCTTTCGTTAGCACCCTTTTGAACTTGTTTATCTCAGAAGTACAACCTCATGTCAGTAGTATGTCATTTACATAAAGAGGCACCAAGATCACATTGTCATTAGAGGTATGATGCACATACACACCATATTGCATTTCACTTTTTTTGAATTACTAATGCTTGAAAAATGAATCAATTTCCATATTCCAAGCCATTTGAGCTTGTCTAAGCCCATACAAGGCTTTATGCAGTTTGTACATCATCCATTCTTTATTATCTATCACAAATCCAGGAGGTTGTAACACATAAATGTCTTCTTGCAATGGACCATTTAGAAAACTGATTTTACATTTAAATATATCAGAGGCCAATTCTTATTTGCAGTTATAGCAATAACCAATCTTATGGTTTCATGTCTTGCTACAGGTGCAAAGACTTCAAAGTAGTATAAACCAGAATTTTGTAGGAATCCTCTAGCTACTAACATTGCTTTATGCTTGGAAAATGAACCATTTTGCTTCAACTTTATCTTAAAAACCCATCTCACACTGATTATTTTCTTGCTCTTAGGTATAGCGGTCAATTACCATCCCTTATTTCTTTCTATTTCCTCAAGTTCTTCCTTCATGTACACTTTATTCTTGAGTGTATCATTGACAATGACAGGTTAAAAGCACACAATCACAACACACTCTATGACTTCCCCTTCATAGTCAATCTCAGTACATGGAGCAACTCGAAGTCTGCAAGTCCTCTTAGTATCTGTCTAATTCTCTATGGCCTTTAAATTTATGTAAGTCCACCTTTAAAGGCATGTCCACCATCAGTGGTAGGGCTACCTTCGTAAGGTCCACCTTTAGAGGCTGGATTGCCTTCAGAGGCTAGATTACCTTCAAAGGCAGAATCACCTTCAGAGTCAAAGTCACCTTCCGAGTCAAAGTCACCTTCAGAGGCAGTCTCACCTTCAAAGGTAGACTCGCCTTTAGAGGTAGACTCACCTTCAGATTTAAAGTCACCTTCAGAGTTAGAATCACCTTCAGAGGTAAAATCTCCTTAAGACGACTTTAGTGTTGACATTACACTAGAGTTGGACTGAGACCTGTTCATATCCCATGTTCTTTATTATCTCACTATGACATCTATGATTATAGTCGTTCTGTTTGTGACTAGGAAATAGAGCTTATAAGCACATATAGAATGGTAATCTATAAGCAACATGACTTACCTTCTGTCATCTAATTTCCTTCTAGTAGCATTCGGTGCATGTTTGTAACATACATAACCAAACACCTTGAAATGGTTTGCACTTTTCTTTCTTACATGCCACTTCTCTAGAGGAACTGCTTTCCTTAACTTTGTTGTTAGACATCTATTGAGCACATATGCTGACATGGAAATTGCTTCGCCCCGTAATGTATGAGGTAGATTCTTTTCTTTCAGCATACTCCTTGCCATGTCATGCAAAGTTCTATTTCTTCTTTCAGCAAGACCATTTTGTTGTCGAGTGTATGTAGCAGTCACATCATGCTCAATTCCATGCCCCTCACAAAACTTCTTGAACTCAGTCAAAATGAACTCACCTCCACCATTTGTTATGAGGATCTTCAACCATTGTCCACTTTGATTCTCAACATTCACATTGAACTCCTTGAACTCAACAAACACCTCATATTTGACCTTTAGGAGTGCTACCCATTTCATTCTTTTGAACTCGTCCACAAATGAAACAAAGTAATTATTTCCTCCAAGTGAATGTACATCAAATGGCCCACATACACAGAATGTACCACCCCTAAAGCATGAGTTGCTCTTGGATAAGTCTCTGATGAGAATGAAAATCTTGGTTGGTTTCCTCTCATGCATATATCACATGATTTCTCTAGTTACACAATCTTTGGAATTCCATGTACTAGATTCTTTAACTCAAATGCCCTAAACATCAAAAGTTCAGATGTTCCAATCTCTTGTGCTACAACTCACTTTCCCTTAGAACACTATTTGCACTAAGGCATTGAGTGTCTTCTATTTCAAACTTCACCTTGAACTTCCTGTTTCTACCTAGTGTAGACTGCATAATCAACTTCTAGTCACACTCATATAACTTTAAGAGATTTTCCTTCATAGTTACTGAACATCATTTTTCAAGTAGCCGATCTACACTCATCAGATTACTATTCATGTCAGAAACATACCATACATCCTTGATCAATACAATTTTTCCATTCTTCAATTTTACTTTGACATTTCCAATTCCTTCAATATTAATACACTCATCACCAGCACATCTGATCTCGGTCTTTCTACCAGAGTCAAAATTAACCAGCCATTGCTTGTTTCATGTTAGGTGATTTGAGCAGCCGATGTCCATATACCACCAGTCTACCATTTTTCACCTTCATTCTCAGATGCCATCAATAACACATGTTTATCCTTAGGATATCCTCTGGCTATGTAGGCTTATTCACCATTTCTTTCCTTTTTTGACCAGCAATCATTAGCAAAATGGAAAAACCTATTACAGTTGTAGCACTGAACCTTTATATTATCAAACTTCCCCTTTCCCTTCTAAACATTTTTATGTTTATACTCATCTTGATTGGAGAGCTCTGACTTCTGAGTACCACCACCATTATTTTTCCTGTTCTCTAGCCATGCTTGCTTGTTGTTCTTTTTGCCAAAAGAAGCTTTCAGAGCCTGTTCTATTTCCCTTTCAAAGTTCCTTTCAGTAAAATGCAATTCTTGTGCCTCTAAACTACTTTGCATCTCTTCAATTCTCATGATGTTGGTGTCTTTCAAGTGTTCTATGACTACAATTATGTAATAAAACTGAGGAGTAAGTGATCTTAGTTCCTTTCAAAGATTACTTGTGTAAAGAGCGTTTCTCGACAAGACTTCATATAATTCGTGACCACAATCACTCTAGCGACATAATTAGGCACCTTCTCATTGTTCTTCATGTTGAGATTCTTGTATTGCTTGTGTAGGAACTGCAACTTTACTTTCGCCACAGATGTGTTGCTACCAGAGTACTGCAGAAGTGTATCCTTTGTCTCCTTCATCTTCGTTGAGTCGACAATATTTTCAAAAACCTTCTTATCCACACACTGGTGGATATAGAACAATGTCTTATGATCCTTCTTCCTCATTTCAAGTTGCTCATTTCTTTGCGCTTCTGTTGCATTTTTTTGCAACTAGCGTGTAAGCACAATTGACGAGATCAAGAAAATCTTGGCGTCAAATAACACACACATATGAATCAACCATAAATTCCAATTCTTTGAGTCGAATAATGAAAGCTTTGTATTCAAGCTACAATTTCCACTATTCATATTCATTCTTGTGAAAATAGCTCAATTCTTAACAACATTGGTGTCTTCGAATCCCTTAGAATCAAGATTATGATTCTCTTCGATTTTGATCTTCAATTCAATGTTAATTTAAGGAGAGAAATCAGTCACACACCTCATATACACTTGTGTTTCCCTGTTAATCGATTCTGAGCTCTGGATACCAATTTTTGGATTTAACAATGAAAATTCATCGATACACAATAAGAAGAAGGCGGTGAACGAATTGCAAAGAGAGAGAGAGAGAGAGAGAGAGAGAGAGAGAGAGAGAGAGAGAGAGAGAGAGAGATTCTGTAACTAACTCAATCTTAATAAACTCAATAATTCTACTACTATTAATTGTAACTAACTTTAAATTTATATACGGACTAAAACTCAAATGGAAACAAAAAATAAACTAAAAATAAATAACTTGATTTTAAATTACATTTAACACAATATGTCATAGAATTTAAATCCTTGTCCTATTTGAAGAAATTGACACACATAAATTGTATTATTGTAAATTGTGTATTATGTCATTTTTCTCTTTATTTGTATTTTTAAATTTTGGAAGGAAAAGCATTAAAGGAAAAACTTTATTAATCTGAAAAGGATAAGCTTCAAATTGCTTATTAGAAGATAAGCTACCGGAGGATAACAAATTAACATTGTTTACGAGAATATCAAAGTTATTTGACTTTGGTGTAGCGCTTATTAGAACATGTTTTTTTCTTAAAACAAGATGCATTGCTATAAAATACAAGGGGTACTCTCATCCATAACATAATTCAAATTACAAGAGAAGAAATTTCCCACCAACACTAACTAGCCTAAGAAAAAGGAGCCAAGCTAAATTCATAAAAATTAGAGTTGGAGTAAGAAATATCTCTTATACAAGACCATTTCCAAGCTAAAATTTAATACTCCCAACAATTTTGTTCAGTTACACTTGCTGCTGTTGAAAACAATATCAGTCCTTATATTCCAAAGGCTCCAAACAACCCCCAACCAAATTAAACCCGATTTGGCCTTCCTAGCTTTGTTGTATGATAACCTACACTAATAAATAAAGTGCTTCCAAGATATGCCTACATAAGAAATATTACAGTCGTACCAATCTCCCACCAAGTCCCACACTTTTGAAGAAACTGGACAAACAAACAATAAGTGATTCAAATCTTCTTCAGACTATGAACAAAAAAAAATTTCCATCCTTTAAAGATAGACCCACACCTATTCTCTTCAGTTGATCTTTCGTCGCCATTCTTTTCAAGAATATTCTCCAACCAAACGATTTAATCTTCGTCAGAACAAGCAACCTCCACAATGAGTTGAACGCACGACAAAGAACAGTTTCTAGCATATCCTGGTTTTTTGAGTCCATAATACATTCATAACCTTCTCTTGTAGAATATTCGTCACAATCGTCACGAATCCACTGTAGAAAATTCTTAGTTCCAACAATTGGTTGATAAACCGATAATAAATTCTGAAGAAAATTAATTCTTTTAGAGACAGAGTTCTGCATTTCCCTAGGGATACCAATATCGCCCCAACTCCATTTGCCATTAAGCCAGACCCCCATATTAATCACAAAGTCTCCTTTTTTGTTGCTGATATCGAACAAGTCTGAAAAAGAGCTAGCTGGAGTGTAACCAATAGGGATCCCCAAGAAGTTAAAACATGGATCCTCAATCTTACATAATAGAAAATTAGTAGCAACATCCAAAAAATGCTTACTCAGATGGATTCCAATTATCCTACTCTTAAGAAAGCTAACACTCAAACCTGATACAAGTTTGAAGCCCCTAAGAATAGCTTTGATGTTCCACAAATTCTTCCAACCTCCTTCTCCTATGATTAGCGTGTCGTTCGAAAATTGAATAATTTCCACTAACAGACCCTCCTTATCTCTAAATCCTTCAAAGTTGCCCCTTTCTGAAGCCTTAGAGATCATACTTGTCAAAACATCAGCAACTAACACAAAAAGAAATAGAGATAGAGAGTCTCCCGACCTTAGACCTCTTCCCACCTCGAAATCCTTTGTGAGACTTTTGTTAACCAAAATCGACATATGACTCTTGAAGATACAAGCTTCCATCCACCTCATCCAAGTATTCTCAAAACCCATTTTAGCCATCATAAGGCAGAGAAAATTCTAATTAACATAGACATAGGCTTTCTCGAAGTCTACTTTAAACATCACACACTGCTTCTTGTCTCTAGTAGCTAAGTCCACTATTTCATTGGCTATTTAACACCCATCTGATAATTGCCTACCTAGAACAAGCGTCGATTGGGAATGAATAACCAATCCTCCTAGAAACATTTTCAACTGTGACATGTTGGATCGAACTCTAGTCTGGTCGAAGTCTGTTCGCGAGTAATGCATGTTGTAGTCGAAGTCTGTTTTAACATGCATTAGTAAATATTGCTAGGGTTGTTAGCATGTTGAATTGGGCTTTCCTTGTAAGGCCAATTGTTTAAGTTAGCTTGTACCCTAAGTTGGCTTGTAATGGGTAATTGTTAAAAAGCCTATTAGGTTAGTGTGCTATTTTATTATAAATAGGATGCTAGTTTCTCAATCTTGACATAAGGAAAAATAGGAAGATAAAATCCTAATTTCAAGAGAGAGAGGTTATTTTGTTATTCTTGTATACTTGTAATCTTGTTCTAAGAGAAAGGAAAAAATAGCAGTTTAATAACCAATCCTTGTTGTTTTCTTCTTTATTAACCCTAACCCTTGTGTGTTTCTTGCAAAGAAACCGTTTATACTTTGTTTAAAGGTATCCAGTTCACAACAAATTGGTGCGGTGAGCATGGAAAAGATGCCTTCAACAAAGTATGAGACTGAAAAGTTCACCAGAGTGAACGACTTCGGTCTGTGGCGCTTGAAGATGAAAGCCCTGTTGGTTCAGCAGGGTTGTTTGGAAGTGTTGAAGGGTGAGGGAGCCATGGACGCTGCGTTAACGGCAAAAGAAAAGACGGGTATTATCGAGAAAGCCCACAACGCAATATTGTTGAGTCTTGGTGATAAGGTTCTTCGACAGGTATCAAAGGAGACTACAACATCGGGATTATGGGTGAAACTTGAAAGTTTGTACGTGACCAAATCTCTGGTGAATCGAATTTACCTTAAGCAAGCTTTATATTCATTCAAGATGAGTGAAGACAAAGTGTTGGATGAGCAGTTGGATATGTTCAACAAGCTAACTCTTGATCTTGAAAATATTGATGTGAAGATCCATGATGAAGATCAAGCACTGTTGTTGTTGTGTGCTTTGCCTAGAACACATGCTCACTTGAAAGAAACTCTCTTGTATGGAAGGGAGTCTCTGACCTTTGAAGAAGTTCAATCAGCCTTGTATTCTAAGGACTTGAACGAACGAAAGGAGCATAAACCTTTGACGGTGGGCGAAGGTTTGGCCGTTAAGGGAAACATCTAGTATTCGATGTTATCACTGTAAGAAGGAGGATCACATAAGAAAGGTGTGCCCTGAACGCCTGAAAGGTCATGGAGGTAATGGCAATGCCGCCATTGTTCAAGATGACTTCGACTCATCTGATGTTCTTGTGGTTTCAAGTGGCGACTTGAGGAAATAGTGGATTATGGATTCAGGTTGCACTTGGCACATGACTCCAAAAATAGATTTGTTTGAGGAGCTATGTGATCAAGATGGTGGATCTGTGCTGCTGGGAAACAACAAATCTTGCAAAATTGCAGGTATTGGATCTGTGAGATTCAAGCTCCATAATGAGTCAATAAGGTTATTGACTGAAGTCAGGTATGTACCTGATTTGAAGAGAAATTTGATTTCTCTTGGTGAATTCGAAAGAAAAGGATACATTTTTCAAGGAGAGAAAAGTATCCTAAGAGTCATGAAGGGGTCGAAGGAAGTCTTGAGAGGCATGAAGAAACAAGGCTTGTATACCCTTGAGGCTGAGGTTGTAAGTGGTTCGACAAATGTTGCATCCACGAAATCTATGTCGAAGACAGAATTATGGCACATGAGATTAGGCCATGTCAGCGAAAGATGGCTGGTCGAATTGGGGAAGCAGAACCTGCTAGGAGGTGACAAAGTCGAAAAGTTGGAATTTTGTGGATCTTATGTATTTGGTAAATCCTGTAGGGCAAAGTTTAACAAAGGCAAGCAAAGAACACATGGATCCCTGGATTACATTCATGCTGATCTTTGGGGGCCTGCAAGGAATCCCTCACACTCAGGTGCAAGGTATTTACTATCCATCGTTGATGACTATTCCAGAAAGCTATGGGTATTCATTCAGAAGATGAAGGATGAAACTTTTGAGAATTTCAAAAGTTGAAAGATTATGGTCGAAACTCAAACTGGCAGAAAGGTTAAGAGGTTGAGAATCGGCAATAGCCTTGAATTCTGCGACGAAGCGTTTGACAGTTACTGTGTTGAGTTTGGGATTGCAAGGCATAAGAATGTAGTAGGTACTCCTCAACAAAATGGCTTAGCTAAGAGATTCAATCGAACAATCCTTAAAAGGATTGTAGAATTTGTTTGGGAGAAGGTTGTTTCGACATCAACTTACCTGATAAATAGATGCCCCTAGAATTCCTTGGGAAAGAAGACACCTGAAGAAGTTTGGTTGGGACATCCTGTAACACCCCCTTCTATACCCCAAATAAATGCATATAAAACAATTAAGCACATACACAATATCAGAGTAAAAAGGTTTTATAATAAGGTATAAAAGAAGAATGCCACAATTTCACCAATAAAACACTTTAACATTTTTGCTCCATAAAATATGTAACGTTTTCGTAGTTTTGGAAATCACATTTCAACATTTAATTTAAACGGAAGATAACATCATTTAATCAGTTCCAAAATATTAATTCAACTGCACATAAGTCATCCAGATTAGTACATCATATCAGTTAGATTACAAAACCACATCGGCTGATACATCGCAATGTATCACAAAAAAATGACTATACTAGTCTAACTACCCGGTGTTACATATCAGAGCAGCAGACTCAAAAGAATGAAGACTAATCTTCACAAAAGGACTCCAGCATCCTAATCTGCAATGCCTCATAGAGCATTATAAAACAGCAGAAGGGTGAGAAATATAACCATAATAATCAAAGCATAAGATTATATATATATATATATATATATATATATATATATATATATATATATATATATATATATATATATATATATATATATATATATATATATATATATATATATATATATATATATATATATATATATAGGTAATCATGTAGCACATATTCACATTTCTCACCACACTTCATTCTCTTAGTCATATATATTTACCACACATGTATATATACAAACATGGATATCCACAAAGCATTCCCACATTATGTATACACTTACAATTTCCACAATCTCATCATTCACACATAAGCATCACTTCATGCATATGTCATATATCAATGTGACTCAACAACTCAATGCAACTCATGCAATGCGGTACCGACTCTCGTTATCTTTTTTCGGTTTTTACATTAAACCGGGTCCACACTTCTAGACCGATAACCCGTTATCTTTTTTCGGTTTTTACATTAAACCGGGTCCACACTTCTAGACCGATAACCCGTTATCTTTTTTCGGTTTTTACATTAAACCGGGTCCACACTTCTAGACCGATAACCATAAGGCCCGTCCTCTAAGCCTTCAAACCCACACTTCTAGGTTTGGGACAAGCCACTAGTTTCCACGAAACTAACAGACATTGCCTCTTGACTAAATGATGCATGTACAATCAATCACAACAAATGCACTTAAGACCGACATCTTAATCTCATGCATTCGAATAATTCACCCCTTCGAGAATTTCATCATGATTGCACATACAACATATATCAAACATTTATCAATGTATTCATTTCACACATCATCATATTCAACTACAATGCACACATATCACATATGTTCCCATGCATTCACACCACAATCGCATACATATATGCACTCACAATTCATTAGACGATACACATACATTTCTCATTGTATTCCCATGTATCTCTAATTATCACAACAATCAAGGTATTCTCATTACAATACCAATCATACAATTATAAGTTATGCACACATATTCAAAATGTTCTCATGCATACTCATTACATAATTGTATACACATCAAGCATTCGCAAATTCATAATATAATACACACATAATCACTTATTATGTTCACATGTATTTTAACCGATTACAATTAATCCTTCATATCACAACTCTAGGATTCACGCCCGAAGGCTACCCACAACACATGTTATCACAATAGATCATATCTATATTCATATCATAAGGTATCCACCTATGTGGAACAACCAAACCATCTCCACATGATCAACACAGCAAAAGAAAAATGCTGTCAAACTCGCCCACATTCGCCTGGCGAACCCTTGCAGCGAACCTTCGCCTGGCCTTCGCCTGGCGAACTCCCTCAGCGAACACTCGCTAGGCTTCGCCTGGCGAGACTTGCCAGCGAACCCAAGTCAGTAGCTACTGACTTCATTCGCCACCATTCGCCAGCACCTTCGCTGGGCGAACCTTCGCTATCCAACCTCACCTGGCGAACTCGCCAGCGAAGTCCACTGGGCTTTAACTTATAATTATTCGCTAGCATTCGCTAGGCTTCGCCTGGCGAAGCTTCGCCTTTGCTCGCCTGGCGAGAGCCAGCGAACCTGCGCAGAACAGAATCACACTCTGTTCCTCCTTCACCAATCCATCATCAACCCTCTCTTACACATCCAAATCAGTACAAATAACATCAATACATGTTACCCGACTATTCTACGGCATTATTGCTCAGTTTCAACCGATTAAATCCTCGATCTACCGATTAATCCAACTTTTGCCCTAAATAGAAAGTGATGAAAAACATCCACAAACCCCAAACCCAACATACATAATAGCATACAATGATTAAATAGCAATGTTTCTCACCCTTACCTCGATTAATCGGAGCTTTGATGTTGGTTCTTGATGATTTTTCCACTTTTCCTCTTCTTCTCCTCTCTTTCTCTTCTTTCTTCTTTCTTTCCTCTTTCTCTCCAAATGT